AGGCTACAGTTTAGGGGTTTAGGGTTTAGGGCTTAGGGGTTTAAGGTGTATACACTAGAGCTTACAGGTTTGGGGCGTATGGATTTAAGAGGCTTTAGGCTCGATGGGGGTCGTCTCTAAGAGCTGACTTACCTCGAGGTCACACCTCTGGAGGGTGAACGACTCTCTGACTTAGTTGCCCAGAGACTCCAATACCCCTTAATTAAGGAAGATACCTTAAATCTTATTAGGGATCCTACTATAATTTAAGGTATATTCCTTAATTAAGGGGTATTGGAGTCTCTGGGTGGTCCTATGTTGTACTCTACTTTTGCTTGCGGTAGCCGGTGAGAGGAGGTTAAAGCATCTACTTCACGGTGCTAAGATCCTAAGAAACCTACCCTAAACCCTAAACCCTAAACCCCTAAAGGCGCTCTGAACTAGAGCACAGGCAGATGCTGACAAGATTCGACGCCCTAAACACACGACATACTTTTGGGAGCCGACCGGAGCCCTGAACCTAATCATAGACGAGCCTTCACAATCCTAGACCCTCCATCTACCCTCTACTAGACCCTAAGTACCCTTAATTTGGGACCACATACCCCCTAAACCCTAAAACCCTAAACCCTAAACCCTAAACCCCTATCTGAGGGTACTTGGAGGGTCCTGGATCAGATTTATCAAGCTTTCTGGTGGTGTGTCATAGCATAAATTCTGCAGGAAATGTCAGAGGTAACCTTGCTAAACTACTCACCCAGAGATTGGAACGGTTTAGGGTTTAGGGTTTAGGGGTTTAGGGTTTAGGGTTTAACGTACAGATCATAGATGACAAGGGCCGCGAGCCCCTCCCAACAGCAAACCCTGTATCCTCTTTGCTCAGCTTTGGAAGGGAAACCCAGGTTTAGGGTTTAGGGTTTAGGCCTGCACAGACGGTCAAATAAGCGACTATTGGGGGAGCCCCGCGGAAAAACCTGAACAGCACACCCCAAACCCTAAACCCTAAACCGAGTGGCCCGAAGTAGGACTTGACTCGTTTTCACGGCGTCCTCGACGATGTCAACGCCACAAACCTGAGATCAAGAGCTTCCCAGAGGCTTAGGGTTTAGGCTTTAGGGTCACAGGGACCCCCGCCCAATCCGATGTTCGTCGCGTGGTTCTACGGGCTTTAAGGGTGGGATAGTGCATAACTACCAGGGTTTCCTGATATGACTTAAGGTATTTATTTTGCATATTCCTTAACTGAGGGTTGTTAAGATTCTTGGCGTTTCACCTCGCTTTTTTTGATCGGGGTTCTACAGCGAGTCCCAGAAAGTTAGAATATGGGTTTCGGCGGGGATTAATGCTAGGATCCCTTATACTTTACCTTCAGGGCATGAGGTTAATCGTGTTCCAAGTTTCTGGCTTCTACTCTAACGGTTTTAAACGGAATTCTTTCGGATCTGCACTATTCCTAGACCCTCCATCTACCCTCTTTTAGACCCTAAATACCCTTGATTTGGGACCATATACCCCTATCTGAGGGTACTTGGAGGGTCCTGGTTTAGATGGGTTCTACAAGAGTCCTATGTTTGAAAGGCTCTTGGGGCTTCCAAATGTGGTGGGGGCTTCTCGGCGTTAGGGTTTCGGGGTTAAGGGTTTAGGGGTCTAGGGCTTTGGGGTTTAGCGGTTTAGGATTTAGGGCTTAGGGTTGAAGGAGGTTTGGGGATTGTCGGGGTTCGGGGCTCGCAGTCAATAGTCTCAAAACCTACCCTCAAAATGTTGAAGACTTGGTACAGCCATGCCATAACAAAGGACTCCTAAACATGCAGGCTTCCTTCAGGTTCGGTGATGAACCCCGAAACCCTAAACCCTAATGTAGGGGCCTTCATAAATTAGAACAGGGTTTGGGGGGTTCCTTATTCTATGTATAAAAGCACCCTTAGAATCGCAATCAAAATAACCTTTCCCATACCCCTAAACCCCAAACGGATCCATACCCCTAAACCCTAAACGGATCCCTGGAGTGTTAGCAAACAGGGAGTTACCAAGGATCCCGAAGTTTTTGGCTTCAGGTAGCCCCAAAGGTCCCACTTTAGGGTTTCGGGTTTAGGGTTTAGGGTTTACGGTTTAGGGTTTAGGGTTTAGGGTTTAGGGAGTCCCTGAGAACCTTATACTCTCCCAAAGCACCAACCTACAAAACTACTAGCCGAAACCCCAGTACCTAATTATTGGGCCCTTTGGACCCTCTACGGCGGAGCTTAGTCTGCAAAAGGGTTCAGGACTTCGCTGTCGGATTTAGATCAAAGCTGATGAAATGCAGTCTTCTGGTGGTCGAACTGGCGGGTTCGGTGGCGCCGGAGGTACGAGGTTTCATTAGCTTCCATCATTTAAGTTAAATGGCCCTTATGACGGATAATGTAGCTGTTGTTTTTGTTTATTGCTCTTTTATGAGATATATTGCCATGGACATTTTTCAGGAGTTGGGATATGCTGAGCGTGAATGCTTTGGTCATGCCTGTAGGTCCCCAAATAGTACGGCACCCTTGTATAAAGGACCCTACAAGGGATGTAGGTCTCCAACACCAACCCTTTTGACATTCTGTGATTGTCTGGGAGTGAGCATTAGGGGGACCCTTGGGGATATGGACCCTCTCAATAATGCCCCTTCTCAGAAATCCAGAAGTAGGGTTTAGAAGGGTCCCCTTTTTGGGGTCTCCCTGGTAATGCTACCCATAGTACCCATTGTCCTTTCATTCTGAAGGTTTCAGCATAAGACTTTCAGCTCCCCATACCTCAAACCTTAAACCCTCATGGTTGGGTCGTGGTCGGGAAGAAACCCCGACTTCTATAGTATACACATATTGCACGACATGGGGATACCACGCGTAATTACTCCGATGGGTATTGGGACACCCTAAAGACTAAAACCCTAAAGCCTGAACCCTAAAACCCTAAACCCTAAAACCTCCGCGGGACGAAAGTGGTGTGCTGCGCCAGCGCCACAAGGTTTTCACCTGTGCCTTGAAACGTGGGTTTAGGGCTTTAGGGTCTTTGGTTTAGAGATGGGATGCTTGTTTGCGGTTTAGAGCGTGCAGTCAGTCAGGGTCTAGAGTTTAACGTTTAGGGATGTGGAGGCTCCGGCTTAGGATTTATGTCTTGAGGTTTAGGTCTTTGGCTGCCAGTGTTTGGAATTAAAGGTTCTGAACCCAGAGACTCCAATACCCCT